AAATGGAGCCGTTAAGCAGGAAAGACAAATGTATTATGTAAAAATACAAAAGCAAAGTAATGGTTAGGTAAAATATATGTAAGATATGTCTTGCAGTTTGTAAACTAATCACTTATAAAATATATGTTTTGCGAAGTCAACACTATCACTGCACAGGTGAGTGAGAGGATTTTGAAAATGCCCCATCAACCAACAAAATAGTTTAATTAGGGATGTTTGTCTAGATGACTACACAATTAACCAATAAACCTAGTCTTATCAGTTAATCCTAACTACTACATGCACGCGCGTGCGCATGTTGCCTCTGTATTCTGTGGGGCAAGGAGGCAGACTGGCGGGAGCCTGCTTAAAAGCCTAGTGCCTACAGAACCACCTGCTTCCCTCCTGCCCGCCCGCCCACAGCTCTGCTGCCTCTGATAGAGAGGGAACACTGCAGGGGCTGAGGGGGCAGATAGGGGCTGGTACACAGCTTTCAAGCCAGCTCCCTGTGCGTACCAGCTCCCAAAGAGCCACCTCCCCTATGCTGCTGCCTCTGTATCATTGGGGAAAGAAGGAAGAATAAAGCTGAAAGGAAAAACCAATGAATGCATCTGCATCAGAGGCAGCAGCAGGAGATAGGGTAGGCAAGTGGGAGCTGGTGCTTGCAGGATGCCATCTTAAAATCTGGTTCCCCTGGAGCCTGCCTGTCCCCTCTGCATGTAAAAAAGTAACTGCTGAAAAATTCAGCGGTTACATGTTCACAAAAATAAACATTTGCTAACATTCTTAAATCTAATCCTTATCTTAAATATCTAATAAATACTTATAACTTTTTATTGTTTAAACAAAGATAACCATTTCAGTCCAATTGACTCCAGACAAATTTTTGTTTTCTTACCTATTATTTTGATATATAGTATCAGATATGATTCAAGACACAAGTATAGGCCACGATCCTGCAAACATTCATGCATGTGCATAACAGCAGTTAAACGTGTGCATAAGTGTTTGTGGGATTAGGACTTAAGTTTCTTCTTTAAGCTACACCTGTCTTTATTGATATATACTTGTTTATAATTATATTTATAAGATTTTTAAGAGAACAGATGTTATCCATATTTTCTTTTAAAACTTATGAAAAAGATGTAACATGCAAAACATTTGGGTATAAAAAAATTGAGGCAGTAAAACATCACTGGCAGGATAATAAATTGTACAAAATAGTAATATAAACGGGTAACAGTTATGGGGAAACGAATTTAAAAGTCACATTTCAGTCTGATGGTTTTTTAACTTACTATTTCTATAAATAACATTGACAATTAATATAACTGAAAACAGTAGGATAAACAATTCTTCCTTTTTTTTCCAGTTTATTTGGTGTATTTGACAGAATTTAGAATTATTTTCATTCTTGTGTTTTATGTCAGTTGCACTTTCCTGTTCCCAGTACAGTTTGAACCTATTGGCTCTGTCTAGACTGGCATGTTTAGCTTTGCGGAAAAACTTGCCAGCTGTCTACACTGGCCGCTTGAATTTCCGCAAGAACACTGACGATCTCATGTAAGAAATCAGTGCTTCTTGCAGAAATACTATGCTCTCCCGTTTGGGCAAAAGGGCCAGTGTAGACAGCTCAGATTTGTTTTGCGCAAAAAAGCCCCGATCGCGAAAATGGTGATCGGGGCTTTTTTGCGCAAAAGTGCATCTAGAGTGGCACGGACACTTTTCCGCAAAAAGTGCTTTTGCGGAAAAGCGTCTGTGCCAATCTAGACGCTCTTTTCCGCAAATGCTTTTAACGGAAAATTTTTCAGTTAAAAGCATTTGCAGAAAATCATGCCAGACTAGACGTAGCCCTAGAGTCCAGCTATCTGGTCCAGCAACATCTGTGGTCAGGCATGATTTTAGTTAACTGGATGTACATTTACCATGGATTTGGCCAACTTTTCCTGGTCCCATAAAGTTTGTTTACAGCACCAGTCTGTGTCACTAGCAGACTTCCCAGCTGATCCCAGGTCCTGGGGAAATGCTGCAGGGAGCCTGGGATCAGCTGGGGAGTCCCCAGCTGACCCCAGGCTCAATGGCAGCTGCCCCTTTGAATCGCAGAGGCAGCGTTTTAAAGGGTCAGGAGGGGAGCCCGAGGTCAGGACTCCCCAGCTGACCTCTGGCTCCCCACTGCATTTCCCCAGGACTCGGGATCAGCTGAGGAGTCTGCTAGCAACACAGCAAGATACAACCCCACTCTTTTTCCTTCTGCAGCTCAACTTTAAATGTGACTGAACTGCAGTTTTGGCTTCCAAGTACTAAAATCTGGCTCCCCTAATTTTCTACAAGGTTTTCATTTGGTATCACTGGCATTAGTGTCAACATCACCTGTTTAAAACTCATAAGTCTAGAACAGGATTCTATAAATCATCTAGCAGCGGATGGGCTAAGCATTAACATCATCCCCAAGATGTATTTGTCTACTCTAACCTGTTCTAGTGAGAGAGATTCCACAACCTCCCTTAGTAATTTGTTCTGGAATCTAACAAATCTAAACTAATTCTCCTTGATGCGGTTTAAACCCACAAATTCTTGTTTTGTCCTCAGTGGTTAAGGAGAACAATTTATCACTCTGCTTTACATAGCCTTCCTACATGTGAAAGTTTATGTCATGCCAGGAGCCAGCCTTCCCCACCAAATCAGGAGACCAGCTTTAAAGCATGAGATTGTTTTCCTTTTTAACAAAAAGAACAATGGGGTCTCCTTTGCCCATTTAGAGTCCATGGAGTGCATTCAGGTGATCCCAATATGAAGCTCAGCTCTGTTAACCACCAGAGTAAGGGACTTACCTCCTATAAGTAAAGTAGCAGAGCTATTTGGCTACCCACACACTCCCAAAAGCAGACCCAGGCCCACTAGAGCTGGCCACCTTCAGGGGTCTCAAACTCAATTTACCTTAGAGCCAATGCCAGCCCTCAAATCCCCTCTATCGCAACAGCTCTGAGGAGATAGGGATCTTTGCAGGTCCCTTGCGCATCTTCCAGCCCGGCCCGCCAGCCCACATGTCCCCCTCCACCCATCAATCGGTCACGCCTGCTGCCCCCTCCGCCCCCCGGCGATTTAAAAATGCCCCAGGGGGCCCGTGGCTACCAGCACCAGCAATGCTAGGACAGCTTCTTGCTGCTGAGTCCACGCTGCTGCCACCGCAGCCCTGTGACCTGGGGGAGATGTGTGCAGCTGGCATCTCTCAGACCAGACCAGCTACCGTGGTGGGGGGAAGCGGATGCCCCAGCCCGCTATGCTCTTGACCTAAGAGGAGGCGGTGGAGGAAGCTGCTACATCGCTCTGCTTTCCCGTGGCCCCCCTAGGACAGCTTCTTGCTGCTGAGTCCACGCTGCTGCCACCGCAGCCCTGTGACCTGGGGGAGATGTGTGCAGCTGGCATCTCTCAGACCAGACCAGCTACCGTGGTGGGGGGAAGCGGATGCCCCAGCCCGCTATGCTCTTGACCTAAGAGGAGGCGGTGGAGGAAGCTGCTACATCGCTCTGCTTTCCCGTGGCCCCCGCCGCCTCAGTGAGTGCAGGGGACGCAACCCCTGCTACCACCCTGGCCCGTAGTGACCCCCCAGGGGGCGCGGCGGG